GATTTCTACCCGCCGGCGAATACAAGCAACCAAAAAGCACCTACCTGTGAGATAATAGGAGTGTACTCGTACGCCCAACTATCTAAAGTTTTAGAAAACCTTTATTGGTTTTGCGTTCTCGTACCCAAAAAACTTGCAAAGTAGGGGAAATTGAGAGAGCAAAATGTGAAAGAGAGCTGCAAATTTCTGCTGGAAAAATTTTTCCCAGCTAAAACTTGCAAGTAAGAAAATCAGCTGACCACAAACACATGTTTGTAAATAAACAAAAGAAAATATGGCCTTTTTGAGTTATTTATTGCAGATTTTATTATTAATACTAGTATGCAACGAAAAAGTGAGTAAATTTAATAAGCACAACGTTTGTTGAGTTTATTTTTCGTTAATTTGCTATTAATCTCCAGTTTGTTTACTCTAGTGTGTGCTGACTATGGTTGCCGTATGACATTTTTCGTTTGTACCATAATTTTCCTTTAAACATACCAAACTAGATTTAAATGCAGCATGCTGAAATGTTGTTTTGCTGAAGTTTTCGGTTTTGGTAGGTTGATTGTTGAAATAAATTTTATAATTTTAAAGCTACATCTGTAGCTATATCTATTACATTTCTTTTGGATCAATGATGGGTGTTTGGAGGAGATAATCTTGTTTTTGAATGCGTTACCATGTGATATCCCAAATAATTATGAAAAAAATATAATTAATTTGAATTTAAAAAGGTTTTTCTTATCCAAAACTATTCAATTGTATAAAATGCCAAACCGGGGGAAAATGTACCAAGCAGAAAACAAATTGCCAAATTAATCACCAGTGGCAACTGTGCAAGTGATCAGCTGTTTCGAAGGTTGCAAGTTTTTGCAAATTTTGCGTTCTCGTACTTCTGTTGATATTTCGTCTCTTTGAGAACGAATGCTGCTAAATTCTCAGAACTTTTGCTGCTGGAGAATTGTGTCCTCTCAATACGAGTATGCATGACCTAATGATAGTTAAAACAGATACATAAAAAGCGGAAGGAAACACGAACTATTCAGAACGAAAAATGACACTGAAGATGGCACAACGCCGAAACCGGTTTGTCTCCAAACCAAATTTGACAAGGGATGACGGAAAATCGTTCCACAATACATGATAACAAAATCGATAAATATCGATAATAAAATCGATAAATATCGATAACAAAATCGATATTTTATCGATAAGTCCCGAGAATCCCGAATATCCCAAAATAGTTCCCAGATTGAGTCTCTGTGTCTCTCTCTATATCCCTTTCTCTTTAATTACCTTTATTTTTATCTTTCTTCCCCTATCATCATCTTTACTTTTATCGGCATCTTCATCATCCTGTCTTTACTTTTATTTTTATCATTTCCTTCATCTACATATTGCCCTTCAGCTTTGCCCTTATATATATAAGTAAAGTGTTAAAATTGACGTTGGTCTTCATTTTTGCTTTTATCTTTACGCATCTTTGTTTTTGTTTTTATTTTCACTTTTGCCTTTATCCTTTTCTTTATCTATGTACGTAGTCACCTTTACTTCCATTCTTGTATTGGTCTTTTCTAAGTGTTATTCTTTAACCTTTTATTAGCAAATTTTTTGTTAAATTAAGACCATATGCATACCCACAAGAAGCACTTGTTTCAGCCCCAATCATTTCCGTTGCACTATTTCCATTGCACCATTTCCGTTGCACCATTTCCATTGCACCATTTCCATTGCACCATTTCCGAGTGCAATTTCCTTTGAATTTGCCAATTTACTCCCAACCAACCAACCGCCGCTAAAGAAGTTTCACTTCAACAAGGTAAATGTTATCTTATTGCATCATTGTCCACTAGAATGAAGACAATCTCTAGTTGTTATTAAAGGAGAAATTGTTTCTACTTGAAGTTTATTTCGACATTTTGTTTTTCTTGATTTTTGTACGGAGAAGACCCTTTCAACATTGGCTGAAGAATGTGCAATCGATAACACTCCTTGAGCGATGTTGTATGTGTTTGAAAACATTGGCTCATTTAAAACATTTTTAGTGATTCTTACTTTTCTCCAAGACTCACAAACATTTAGGTTGACAAAACTTTTTAAATCAAGGCGTTCAGGCCTAAATTCTGTGTTGCTGTCTTCTATTCTAGCAATTTAAAACTTCTGAAGCAATAAGTGTATTATCGGAACAATGATTTGAATATTGCCTCATAGTACAAAAGAAGGGTTCAGCTTTGAAGCCCACATTAGAAATTCTTCATTAAAACTAATTTTTTTCTTCATAGTACGACAAAAGTTTACACAAAATCGTTTTACGTTTTTTCTAAAATTTAGAACATAGTTCCTCAATATGCGTCTTGAATATCAATTTTATGCGATTCTAAATCTATCACCTCAAAAATTAATGAAAACAGTGCTGTACATCTTAACTAATCACGTGCTGCCAAATTTTGGCTACAGATGGAACTGTACTAAAATGTGTAGCGTAGTAGGAAAGTAGAAAGCACTTGAAATTGTATCAAAAAAGTACAATTGTATCGAAATTATCAACACTGATGCTTACGTACTAGTTTCTGATAGTTGGTACAATTGTTACAAATTATCATCTTTTGGCGTTTTCGTACGCAAAAACTTGCTACAAATTTGCAAAGTAGGACAAGTTGAGAGAGAAAAATTTTGAGAGGAAGTTGCCAGATTTTACTGGACAAATTCTTACTTGTACCAATTTGCCAGTGAGAAAAACAGCTCCTTAAATGCTTATTGTATTTTATCAAGCAAAAGAATACACTTTTGGAATTGTAGAGTTAAAATTGCCTAAATAAAACCTTTTATTAAAATATCTTAAAACTAGTAATCACTTGTAAGCTTTTTCTTTTCGTACTTTTTAGGATAGCTCTCTAATCGAGAGCGATTCCTGGAAATTAAGTTACTGTTCACGTGCTTTTTTGGGTAGTTCTCTCTTTGAAAGCAAATTCTCTGAATTTAAACCCCCTATTGTAACAAATTGATTTCTACTGTGCCTCAAAATATGCCACAAAAATTAGATTTTAAGGGCCGTTTTCTCATCTAACCTTTAGTTTACCGGCCACTTTATCGTCTCGATATACGAGTTTTCGTTTTCTCATCAGCGCATTAATGTCTTGAATCGATAAATTGTTGCGCACCCGATGCAACCTCTAAAAATTTGTACCCAACTTTTAATTTTGGTTAGGTTTTGGTTCATGAGTCAGATATATTAGTTATTTCAACCAAGGTTTTGGTTTTTGCTAACAGTTGCTCTTGCTCCATATTTGCTTATGTTGCATTGCCAACCTTTGAAATTTTATGACGAATGTAGTAAAGTTTCACAGTCGGAAATGTAGTGAAGTTTCACACTACGGAATAACAAATTTACGTTTACCGGTAAGATAAGAAAACGAAAACACTTTAAAATGAGGAACAAATTATCTGCCCTGTTAGTAAAGGTAACTTTACTGCTTACATTAGAAAACGGCCCTTAACGATCATCAGTTAAGTGCCCGTTAGAGCTAATTTAAGGAACGTTTCTGAGTGCGGCTGTAAGGGCCGTTTTCTCATCTAACCTTTAGTTTACCGTCCACTTTATCGTCTCGATATACGAGTTTTCGTTTTCTCATCAGCGCATTACCCAACTTTAAATTTTGGTTCGGTTTTGGTTCATGAGTCGGATATATTAGACATTTCAACCAAGGTTTTGGTTTTTGCTAACAGTTGTTCTTGCTCTATATTTGCTTATGTTGCATTGCCAACCTTTGAAATTATATGACGAATGTAGTGAAGTTTCACTCTCGGAAATGTAGTGAAGTTTCACTCTACGGAATACCAAATTTATTTTTACCGGTAAGATAAGAAAACGAAAACCCTTTAAAGTGAGGAACAATTTATCTGGCCTGCTGGTAAAGGCAACTTTACTGCATACATTAGAAAACGGCCCTAACAGATATTATTTAATTGTTTGTACATTTCTTTACCACTTAGGGCCGTTTGCACCATGTCTAGTTAACGCTAACTGGAGGTACATCCTTCAGTTAACCACGTCAACTGCTTTATCGAGCACATGTTATATGATGGGTGTCGATAACGTCGATAAAGATGTTTAACTGGGAGTTAGAATTAACTAGACATGGTGCAAACGGCCCTTAGGGCCGTTTTCTAATGTAAGCAGTAAAGTGGCCTTTACTAACAGGGCAGATAAATTGTTCCTCACTTTAAAGTGGTTTGGTTTTAAAGCAAGAGCAACTGTTAGCAAAAACCAAAACCTTGGTTGAAATAACTAATATATCTGACTCATGAACCAAAACCTAACCAAAATTAAAAGTTGGGTACAAATTTTTAGAGGTTGCATCGGGTGAGCAACAATTTATCGATTCAAGAAATTAATGCGCTAATGAGAAAACGAAAGCTCGTATATCGAGACGATAAAGTGGCCGGTAATCTAAAGGTTAGATGAGAAAACGGCCCTAAGGGCGTTTTCTAATGTAAACAGGTTGCCTTTACTAACAGGGCAGATAAATTGTTCCTCACTTTAAAGTGTTTTCATTTTCTTATCTTACCGGTAAAAATAAATTTGTTATTCCGTAGAGTGAAACTTCAGTACATTTCCGAGTGTGAAACTTCACTACATTCGTCATAAAATTATAAAGGTTGGCAATGCAACATAAGCAAATATAGAGCAAGAGCAACTGTTAGCAAAAACCAAAACCTTGGTTGAAATAACTAATATTTCTGACTCATGAACCAAAACCCAACCAAAATTAAAAGTTGGGTACAAATTTTTAGAGGTTGCAACGGGTGAGCAACAATTTATCGATTCAAGAAATTAATGCGCTGATGAGAAAACGGGAACTCGTATATCGAGACGATAAAGTGGCCGATAATCTAAAGGTTAGATGAGAAAACGGACCTTGGTTGAAATATCTAATATATCTGGCTCATGAACCAAAACCAAACCAAAATTTAAAGTTGGGTACAAATTTTAAAGGTTGAATCGGGTGAGCAACAATTTATCGATTCGAGACATTAATGCGCTGATGAGAAAACGAAAACTCGTATATCGAGACGATAAAGTGGCCGGTAAACTAAAGGTTAGATGAGAAAACGGCCCTTATGCGTTTAATATCAAGTGGTAAAGAATCCCATAACATTTATGTGCTAACAAAAAATATGCGTTCTGAGGCAAGGTATCCATATTTTGGAACAAAAAGATTTAGTGTTTTTGGCCACTGACCTATTTTAATATTTTTATAGAGGTAAGATGGGAGTAAATTATTTCATGATGTAATCCAACCGTACGCAACTTGTAGTAGTAACTTAGATCACTGAGAAGAATCTGTTAAGAAAAGTACGAGATATGATCATACTTTCTTTTTTCAAATACGAAACGTGCCGCCTTTAGTGATGTGCTGAGTCAGTACTTTTAAGTATTGGTCGATACTCGGTACCGATTTGTAGAGTATCCACTAGTTTCGATACTCGGTACCGAAATATTGAAATTTATTTATTTATTTATTATTATTATTACCAACAAACAGGACGCTTACAGACTATAT